CCCTTCCTCTGCACGAGAGTCTGAGCACCAGCAGGTCTRTGGGTGCCGGCTTGTGTGCTGTAGTAAGTCACTCTGAGGACGTGCATCTGCAGAAGCTCTTCAGGGGCTCTGCTCTGTGTTCTGCCACCCCTTCCCCACCCAAGTTTATTAACCCGCTACAGGCCTTTTTTCTTGTTGAAGGCCGTAAAGAGCTAGTCSATGGGTCACTTTTGATGCCGTCACTGGCGTCCAGGGCAAAGCCTGCCCCGAGGTGYGATTGTGGTCACTTCCCAGCATGCTCATTTCATGCCCTTTTTGCCAGACACGTATAAAGAAGGTCTTTATCCCAAGAAATATTAGCAAATAGGCAGGACGCACSCTTTCTCCCTGTGTAATGAGTTTCTATCTCAGTATTTTTCTAAGATCTAATGCAAAGAAAATGGATTCTTTCTTTGCTTCTTCTTCTTTTTTTTTTTGCACTAAGGATTGCAGCCAGGGGTGCTTAACCGCTGAGCCATATCCCTGGCCCTTTCTATTTCTTATTTTGAAACAGGGTCTCCTTAACTTGCTTAGGGCCTCACTAAGTTCCTGAGGCTGGCCTTGAATTTGCAATTCTCCTACCTCTGCCTTCCAGGTCATTGGGATCACAGGCCCGTGCCACCACCCCGGGCTGTTTTCTTTCTTAGAAGGCTAACGTTGTGAGTAGCCTCCAGTCGTTTCTCAATGTGAGCCCCGACATTTAGTTACTGTTTCCCACTTTCCCTATGTATTTTCTATTGTAGTTAAACATACAGAACATAAATACAACCCATCGTGACCATCTGTAAGTGTGCAGCTCGGTGGCATTAATATGTGGACACTGCTGGGCAGCCGTCCCCACTGTCCGTCTCCAGCACTCCCACCCCCACCGCACCATTAAACGCTAACATTCCCCCTGCAGCCCCTGGGAACCACCATTCTGCTTTCTGTCTCTATGGATCTCACACTCAGTCACTGCATTTAAGTGACCCTTGGTAGCTGGCTTAGTTCACTTAGTGCAGTGCCTTCAAGGTTCATCCATGAGTCTCATGCACCACAGCTTCCTGACTTTTTGAGGCTGAGGAACATGCCACCGCGCACATGTTGCTATACGTTGGAGTGGTTTGTCCCCCGGGGGCTCCTTGGTTGGAGGTCGGTCCTCAGCGTGGTGGTGTTGAAATGGTGGGGACTTTGAGAGGTGGGGTCCAGGGAGAGGTGCTCAGGTCATTGGGGGTGTGCCCTTGGAAGGGATCGAGRTATTTTGTGGAGCCCCTGAGGTAGTTCTCATGAAAGGGTTGCTGTGCAAGAGCAAGCCTGCCACTCCCCGGCCTGCTCGGGTCCCTGCCTCCCAGTGTGCTCTCTTGTCCTCCACTCCCCTCACCTGTTGGATGTCTTCTGCCATGAGGCCTTCACCAGAGCCASGCTTTGTCGGTGCCCTGTGCCTGTGCCTCTAGGACTGTGCGCTAAATATGCCTCTTTTCTTTAAGCCACCCAGCCACAAATACTTCCTGATAGTAATGGAGAACTTGGTACTAAATCTGCATCTACTACCTCTCGCTCATCAGTTATTAATCCACCACTGCATAGTTGGGTTTTTCCATCCTTGGGCTCTTTTGAATAATGCTGCTCTGTGTATGGGTGTATGAGTRTCTTTCGGTACAGTGCTGGCAGCTCTTTTGATACTATATCCAGGAGCAGAATTGCTGAATTACAGGACGATTGATTCCATGTTTAATTTTTTGAGARGCCACCATACTGTTTTCCRTCGMGGCTGCATCATTTCTACAGTCTCTGGTGTGATTTRTACAGAATAACTTTCAGGGTGAAGTTCAGGGACTCATTAAAGGCAAGAATAGCTCTTCTTAAAGGACGCGGAGGAAGCCCATTCCAAGCCTCCCTCCTCTGAGATGCCTTCTCCAAAGCCGAATGTTGCCTGGGTACGTTGATGCACCCAGATAGTTTTGTGTCAATTCCTGAAGGAAAGGGAAGTGGGGTCCTGATGACATCATGCTATCATGATATCCAGAGGCATTTTAGGTCGTAGCAGCTCGGTACACTTTGAGATATTAATGCCAAGTCCATTCCAGTGACATTTACCTAGAAAGCTGTCAAGTCTGGATGCATTTAAGCCTTAGAAATGCTTTCTAGTGATCCTATGTACTGGGTTTTCTTATCTCTGAAGATAGCTGACATTCACAGGAGAACTCATAGAATGCTTTATAGGCATCTATTTTATAGATAAAATTTAGGGGCCATAAAGCTACCATTCAAATWCTAAGTTAACATCCCCATGTTTAAAAATAAATTCGGTACCTTAAAAAAATCATTTTCATACAAAATAATAAATCTGAAGAAAAGTTTTAAGGATCAAGACCAGCTCTGTCATCTATTAGGCAGATTCCAAGCATCCGCTTCAAACCCYTCCTGGTGCAGGAAACCGTCACTGYGGTGCTTGTCTCTGGCAGGACAGAAGTAGCATTCACAGYGCTAAAGGAATGAGCAGGTCCAGTCTCGGCACAGCCTGTGTGAGGACCAGGGTCTGCTCCACACCTTCACGGATCTCTGCTGACTCCGTAAGGGACCCAGTTTCGGATGGTAACTCTCCTCCGTCTCCTGTGAAGGGCTCGGTTTAACACCCTGTGCATAAAGACATCCATTGTGTATTGATTTTTCCCTGCTTGTTTAGATTTCCAGGGTTGAACTGCGAAATGTCTCATTTCTCAGTCTCTGTAAATCGAGATGAAGTTATCAAATTCCCTGAGTTCCAGGAATTCTCTGGGAAACGTGAGTGCCTGCCAGCTGGRCAGATATTGGTGCCTCATTTTTGTTAACAAATGGACAGTGTCGAGAATTGTRAGGAAGAGCGTGGAAGTGGAAAAATAATCTTATATAGTAGAGGAGTTCTTCTATCATTTTTTATTTGGGGGCCTATTTTTATAATGTTCTTATTCACACCTACAGATTTGACTGGGGCTGCTGGGGTGCGAGGAGGTCCTAGAATCAATAGCTATGCGTAAGTCAGTCATGTAGGTCTTCGGAGACTGGTGGGAGAACTTGAACCCAGGACCAGGGACTAGTGTGGGGCAGCTTTCCCGCTGTGTCAGCCTGACTGGGAAATGCCTGAACATARTATGTCTGCAACAGGACAGATGGTACACCAGAGTGGTGGGAAATAAGATCGGCGACCAGTAGYCCATGCTGCTCTGTGTTCATTCCCCCGATAAGTGAGCCTGGGCTGGGGAGAGAGTTTGCCAGGGAAGAATGGGGGTCACAGCACCCACGAGTTACTCCTGCCACCTGCACATGTGAAACGACTCTACCGTCGAGCTCTACAGCCTGAGTGGAGATTACCCACCCTCAGGCAGCTGTGAGAACCTTCCAGGTGTCAGTGGGTGGGAGCACGAAGTGGCATCTGCTTAAAAATAAACTAAATAGTGCATGGTATTGATGGCAAAAGCATTTTTATTGTATTGGCCTCCATACTTGCTGCCTGCCAGTCTCCCAGGTTGCTAAATGGCTCCTAAAAGGCTCTGCTCTTCTCAGAGAAAGTATGAAACCGGGAACTGTGGACAGCAATGGCTCTAAAACATTTTTCTTCCTTTTTCTTAGGATTCTAAGCTCTTTAAGGTAGAAATTGGGTTCCTATATTTAATGCTCCTTATTCCCGTGAGTAGAATTGACATTGATMTGCATGAGTAGCAGGCACTGGTGGAGTGCCAGTACTCTGCTCGGCCCTGGGAATATAGAGGTGCATAAAGTAGCCCCAGATGCATTGAGGACACAGACTCAGTTGGGAAGAGGTAACTTTCATTCATTTGTGCATTCACTGATTTCAACCAAACCGGTTGGTCTTTGGGCATTGTGGATCCCAGGATGATTAAAATATGGCATTTCCCTCCAGCGTGAGTACAATCTAGTTTACACACAAAACAAAGCCAGAAAGCATAAATGCTGTGGAGGAGAAGAGAGGCTCAGGGGTGTGATTTCAACTGTTACCAAAAAAGTCTTGGACATGACTTGAAATTTGTGTTCACGTAAAACCTGCCCACAAGTATTTATAGCAGCTTTATTCATAATTACCAAAACATGGACRCAACCAAAGGTGCTCTTAAGTAGGTGAATGTACAGACAAACTGGAACATTCAGGCCACGGAATATTATTCAGCAATATAAAGGAATGAGCCATCAAGCCACCTAGAGACACAGGGGGACATTAAATGAGTGTTACTAGGTAAACAAAACSAGGATGAAAAGCCTTTGTGATGTACCATCCCAACTACATGACTACATGAAGGTAACTGTAGAGCCAGGAGGAAGATCCGTGGTTGCCTGGAATGTGGAGGGATGAAAAGGAAGAGCACAGAGGATCTTTAGGGGAAGCTGGTTTCATTCAGTGGACCTGTTCTGTGTGACCCCATAATGGTGGAGACTTGTCTATATGTTGGTCAATGCCCACAGAACTTCACAGCACGAAGAGTGACCCGCAGGAAGAGCTACAGACTTTGGGTGACAGTAGTGTCTCAATATTGGCTCAGTAGTTAGAACAGATGTGCCACACTGCTGTGAGACATTAGCAACAGGGACACTGTGGGTGGCAGGGAAGGGGACTCTATTTTCTATAAAACTGCTCTAAGGGCTGGGGATATCTCTCAGCTGGTAGAGTGCTTGCCTCGAATGCACAAGGCCCTGGRCTCAATGCCCAGCACCAAAAAAACCCCCAAAACCTGCTCTAAAATCAGTCTACTATTGGAAAAGGGAAAGAGGGGTGCCTGGGATCGGGATGGAGAGAAGGTGGCAGAGATTCACCTTTAAGTTTGGGGATGGCAGGAGCAGGCCACAGAGGTGTGGCTGGGCCTGGCGCTCAGGGTGGCGTGGCGGTGGATGGTGGCTAGCTGCACAGACCCGCAGATCCGGGAACTGAGAGGGCTCCTTCATGGAGGAGCCCTGGTGGGATTTGGCTGCTGCCCGACTCGAGGGTTAACGCCTGTTGTTTCTGTTCCCAGCAAAGAGCTCCAGGGAAGGTGTTGCTGGACGCCGTGTGCAGCCACCTCAACCTCGTGGAGGGCGACTACTTTGGCCTCGAGTTTCCTGATCACAAAAAGATCACGGTAGGAGACGCCAGTTAACGTTTCTATTTTACTGTCTGTCCATTTTGCGGTAATATTTGAATGCATACATATGTCTGTATGTGTGTGTGTGTGTGTGTGTGTGTGTGTGTGTGTGTGTGTGGGTGGGTGCACATGCAAGTGTTTGTATCACCAAGATATAATTTCAAATGCATGATGAAAGTAACCCGTGCACATGGTCAGCGAGTTCCAGGAGGACACGAGGTGAGCTGTCCCTCCCGCCTGGGAACATCCTTATCTTTGCAATGCACAGATGTGAGGAAACAATCGACAGTGACCTGCGCTCCCCTCACTGGCAGGGGAGATTTCCTTCTCAGCATATCCAGCCCTCTTCCTTCTTTTTCACAGCTGCACATATAAAAATTTGCAACTTCCAGTGTCAGGGATTCACAACTTTGCTTTTTTTTTTTTTTCCTTTTTCTTTTCTTCATTTTTTTTTTGAAGCTATTAAAAATGAAGCCACGGTGAATATATTATTGCAAGATTTCTGTAGTTCAAGTCCAAAGGCCTGGCATTGCCCAACCTGTAGGTCCGACCATTTTTAAGTTGCTAAATAAGTCATAKTGTCCTTTGGAAAACAAATCTCACTGTTCTGAGTCCAACATTYAGAGTACGGTTTCCTGCTGTTTTTACCTGCCTTGTGTGACGGCACTTTCTGGAGGCTGCGTCCTAGTCCACTTTCTGTCAGTCACTTCCTTTGCAGGCTGWAAGGTCCCTGGCTCTGCTTCTGGTGATTCTTTCCCATGCACCGAGGACCTGGTCCCCGTCACCCTCCTGGCATCCAG